TTGGGAGCAGAAAAAATAAACCCAGGAAAAATCTCCCAGCCGGCTCTGCAGGAAGGTGACTGGGGGGGTCCCCTCAGAGCCTGTGGGGGTGTCCCTGGCTTTCAGCCTCCTCTGCGTTCCTGACATGGCATTGCTTCTCCTTCTCCTCGGCCAGTTGAGCCACTGCAGGCTCAGCTTGTCTTCTGTACACTTTCCATTTGAAAATAAAAGCATTGTCTCCCTATGCGGTTTCCCGTGTGCCTCCGGTACTTCTGAAGAGCCAGGGCAGGTGGTATAGCCAGACCGAGAATTTTCAGGGAAACCAGAGGCGGAATTGCTTCTTTCCAGGTGATGTGAACACGCTGGATGGGTGGTGGCTGCGTCAAAGTGGATCATTCCCTTGTTAGCATCGGGCCAGAGTGAGACTGGACGGCCTCGGGCTTCCTGCGCGGGACTGCACGGGCCAGACCGGGTTGAAATCACAGGATGGGATGCCGGTTACACGCTCTGCCTGCCTTTCAAAGGCCCAGCGTGGCGTCCTCCTGGGCTATCCTCTTGCTGGGGCATTTCTTTAAAACTCTCTCTGTCTCTTTTAAGATGTCTCCTTTTGTATTTTATTTTTACTCCAAGACAAAAGATTTTCTTCCTCCTCCCTTTTTGATGTAAACCTTCCCCTCAGTGATGTAAACCTTCCCCGCACCAGATGTTCCTGGGAGAGAAATGTGATGCCGGCTTTGGGTGGGGCAGGAGGATGAATAGAATGGAAACTTCCCACATTGTATGCTGATGAATGGAGAGCGCAATTACCGAGGACAGACTTCCTGGTTAATTACGATCAGTGCAGACAGAGGATGGCATCGCAGACACGCGATGACAATGGCTACCATTTACTGCAACAGCCCTGCTTCAGCCTGAGACCGGCACCTGCTGGGTGCTCTACTCGAATGTGCTCTCCTCCCCCCACCCCCCCACCCTGTTCTTCACAGGTTACCTCTGTCTCACCTTTCACTCCTCTGCTTACATGCCTCCTATTCTAAGGGGCTATTTCCTGGCCATTCAAAAGGAACCTGCCTCATTTACTCTCAAATCCCCCTGTTTTATCTTCCTCATAGAACTCAAAGCTCTCTGACATTCTTATTTGTTGAAGGGTTTACTGTGTATCTCTCTCCTGTACATGGTAAGTTCCGGAGAGCAAGGACTTTGTCTAGTTCATTTGTATATTTCCGGTGCCCAGAATAGTGCCTGGCTCATTACAGGCGCTCAAAAGATTTTTTGTTAGAAGGATGGATGAATGGATGGATTGATGGGTAGATGTTTAGATGGATGGAGAGTTTACTATATGCTACGTACACAATCCTAAATGCTTATAGTAATTATCTCGTTTCATCTAAAGGACAGCCTTTCTTTAAAATAGTTTCAGAGAGGTTAAGTCGGTTGTGCAAGGTCACACAGCTGTTAGGAGAGAAACAATTCAAATTCAAGTCTGTCGGGTTTCAAAGTCCACTTGTAACCACTCTGCTACACTGCTTCCCCTGACGCAGAACATTGATCTTGGAAAGGATTTGGGCCCTGGTGTTGCCAGACTTCACTGGACTGTCAGATCTAGAGAGCAAGTGATAGCGTCTGCTGCAGCACCTAGCGCAGAGTTTGGCACCAAGTAGACACTTGATAAATAGTAGGTGCTCAAACAATATTTGTAGATAGATGGAATGGAAGGATGAATGGGGAGGTGGGTGGATGGATGGATGAGTGGATGGATGAGTAGATGGTGGTATAAGGGAGAAGAAGAAACTTGCTCAGTTTTTAATTTTTGTTTTACTTTTGTGCTTGTCCTAGAGAGCCTGGTCACCAGAGAAGGAATCAGAACTCAGCACTCCTATCCCAGTGTTCTCTCTCTCACAAGACCAAACTTCTAAGAATGAAATTCACTGTTTTTCCTATAATCTGGACTGGGCTATGGGATCCTCTCTACAACCCTATGAAATAAAGGCTGTTGTATTCCCTGGTGTCACAGGAATATTATCTATTTGTGTCAGTCACCCCACATGAGAAGTGTTATTTTTGTCCCTTTTTATCAGAAGAGGAAAAAAAGGCCCAGGAAGGTTAAATGGCTTGCCCGTCTTACACAGCAGGGAGAGGCGAGGCCACGCTTTGTCTCCCCTGGACCGATTTTACCTGCACAAGAGCCAACATATACAATAGCCAGAGTTGTGGGCACATCACCTTCTCTGCAGAGACGCTGGGAGTTCCTCCCGGGGAGCTGTGGGTAGCAGAAGGCCACGGGGCACCGGAATCCAGGCCAGAGGTGCCCTGTGGTCATAGAGAGAGTACAAGCCCAAAAGGGAGACCAAGTCGCTTTGTCTCCCTGAACCTCAGTTCCTTCATCTGTAATGAGTATCAAAATTGTGGCGGGGGAAGACTTTCTGCAGAATTCCATTCCTATCATGGGCCTTCTTCTTCAAACAAGCAAACAGACCTCCCAAAAAACTCCTCTTAATATCGGACAAATGGAATGAGTAAATCCCTGCCCATGTATTCAATGGGTTAACGGTTTATGGTGTCACTTCTTCCATATGAGATACCGACCGGCATGCAGGCAATGATCTTCTCGGGGCTAGCAGCCTTTACCTAAAGGATGGACTCGGCTCTGCTGCAGCCTCCTGGTAAGAAGGGGGCGTTGAAGCACCAGAGAACAGCCACCGGACGATAGCACGATAGCATGGGGACAGCCATCACATCCTGGGAAGCGGTGTGTTGACTCAGACTGGAACCTGCTGTGTCCTGCCACTTCCTGGCCAAGTGGCCGCAGCTGGGTGGTGACTCGCCTTGTGACTCACGTGGAGACACCACGCCTCCAGGTCATGACATGGAAATGAGCGGCCAGGCACCCTGTGGACACACACGGTAGATGCCCCTGGCTAAGGGTAGTTTGTTTGGCCTCAGTGTGGAGCTGGCCTGTCTGTGTTTCTCTCCCTCACGCGCATCAGAGAAGAGCCACAGGACCATAGCACGGGGACAGCCATCACATCCTGGGAAGCGGTGTGTTGACTCAGACTGGAACCTGCTGTGTCCTGCCACTTCCTGGCCAAGTGGCCGCAGCTGGGTGGTGACTCGCCTTGTGACTCACGTGGAGACACCACACCTCCCGGTCATGACATGGAAATAAGCGGCCGGGCACCATGTGGACACACACGGTAGATGCCCCTGGCTAACAGTAGTTTTTTTGGCCTCAGTGTG